TCTAGCTTATTTTAGAATTTTCATTTAAAGTTTTAATCAATTTAACTAATAATTTTAATAGTTATCGAAAATTTGCCGATGAAACTTACCATAATTCGCGAATGATAACAATGCCCTAAAGTCTTTAAAGTCAATTGCATACATTTTATTGAGTAATGTGCTTCTGATAAAAAATTCTTGCAACACTTATTGCTTTCCGCAAATTTTAAATATAAAATTTCACATACATCCCAACTGCATGAATCGACTTGGATATTTTGAGCATGAAAATATCTCAATAAATTCATTCGAAAAATCAACATAATAAACAGCATAAGCAACGATATCTCTTTCATAATTCTTCAACTATCGGATTATGAAAACAATTGGCAATAAAATTACTGATCTAAACAGTATACAGTACAATTATTTACTTTCCTTTCATTTATAGAACGAAACAACGTGTGCACTATATCAGGTCTGTTTATTTTTCACTTCAAATAAGGTGCTTATAGTGAATTAACGATAAGTAACGCAACGCCTAAAATTTGACAATTAGACTTTTTAAGATAATTCTATATTATTAAGAAAATGTTAAAAATTCCATAAAAATGAAAAACGCGTGTAATTGGTAATAAATAAATAGAGTGAAGAAAAAATTTGTTGAAGGATAAGTAAGTAATATGAGAACATAGTAACTAGCAGGATGACTTAGTCTCACTCTTCGATTGCAAGTGGCACTTTGCTTATTTTTAGTTAAGAAATTAACAAATTCCTATTAAATGACATTAGCATTTTCAATTGCTGTCGATATTTTAAGTTCACTTCGAGAATGGAAATAAATCGAATTTCTAATGGATTGTTTAGATTGAAAAGTGAAATGTTTTACGTGCGTCATATCACGAAGGAAGTGATAATTTACGAACTGGCACTCCTACTGTTACACAAACTACCTGCCATTTCCAACTGAATCTCACTTTCCATTTGCAAATGCTAATTGTGTGAATGCTCAACTAATATATCGATTGAGGAAGGAAGATGGGAGTGAAGGTCAGCCGCTGAAAGGTTGTACTCTTGATCCCCAACTTAATCTCGTTAAAACATTCGTTCATCATTGTAGATCATAGAATTCATGTCTCGATACTTGTTTACTTGCCGGAAATTCTAATAGTAATATAGTAGATTCTAACAGTAATATTTGACAGTAATAGAATAAAAGAGGTTACTTCCACTAAATTCGATCATGTCTCTACGACAGGTTTACCAAATTTTAAGGGCTGTTGGCAAATTACCGGGTGTAGTCACTTCTCTAATCTTCTGAATCTGAACATCATTAAATCTAGAGTTAACAACGAATAGAGGAGCATTTCGAATTCTTTCCCTTATCATTGTTCTTATCATTGTTATCATTAATACAAGTACCAATTTTCAAGGGAAAATGGCTGAATGAAACTTATCGTTTCTTCAATCCCACCACATTACGAGACCAACTACACATAATAGAAAAGTCTAATTTAAAGCGATGAAAATTTCACGGACCTGTTTAACTATATGATGACCTGTTAACTTGAGTCTCATAACCGTGGTGATAATGTCCTGTAATAATGGCATTAAAATTATTTCTATCATCTCAGTTATACTTCTTGCTCTGTTTACGAATGGTATATAGTTATGAGAAGTCATTATTTTCAACAACTACACATCTCCCTCCTCCTTCTCCCTCCTCTCCTTCTTCCTTACTTCCTTCCCTGCCTCTTCCTTCTCCTCCCTTCCTCCCCCTCCACTTTCCTCTCCCATTCCTCCTCCTCCGATCAAAATATTTCCTTCCTGTATTGCTGTTTCCTTCCTGTGCTGCTGTCAGATAGCAATATAAGGCCACCGCTTTGTATCTGAGGTTATTTTCTACTTCACTACCAATGAGCGACTATTGAAAGTTGCTGCATGAACTTCAAATTTCTGATTGTATCAGCAGTTAACTCTTCATAGATTTTATTTTAAAATTTGTTTCAATTTTGTCATGTTTGAAGGAAACAATTAATTTTGCATATTTTCCATCGCTTTTTCTAGTATCCGGTACTGCCTGATGACGTAACTAATAACTAATAACGATGTGAATAACAAACAACCGTAATAGCAATCGGTACGGGAATCACTAAGCATATGCGTAGCTGATAAAATTCAACGTGAAGTAGTCGATTTCGGTGCTATTTCACATTTGAAAATGTCATTGTATATGACACATTACAGTTTTTTCGCAGAAAAGGAGTTTTTTTTTAAATTGATGACTCATGATGGTAGAGTATCATTTTAAGCGGTGATTCAACTTTTTTCTGATTTAACCTTCAGCAATAATACTTTCGATTTTGAGATTGTTTTACGCACATATACCGTACAGTTTACCTGAAAAATAACTGGACAATCCTAGAAGAAATAAAAAATACATAAATATTCGTTAGTAAACAACATTTGTGTCAGTCTATGTCTCCGAGAAGATTTGCTTAAAATCGGTAACAATTTTTCCTAAGTATTGCATCTAGTAAAATTTATGTCACATCAAATAGCAGATTTCAGGATTAATTTGAATAGTAGTCACACACATATATATCGGAAAGTGAAATTATATGATACCAGAAAAATCAAGGGAAGAGTGGGTGGATAATATCTCGTAAAGGATCTCTCTAATTTCTGAAGAAATCGAATTCCTTCCACACTAAGATTATAGCAATTTTTTTTTTAGATAAGATTCGAGTTTGTTATACTAAGTGATTAAGTGAATGAATCATAACGCTTTCATTTTTATTTCTTGCTAAAGTACTTTTACAGACAATTTTTTGGAATTTAAACTTTTGAAGAGGTTTAGAAGCTTAGGAAAATGAAATTCTTATTTTGCATCCCGAAAAGAACGGACGAAATTGTCATAAATAATGTGTTCATCAAAAGCATAATTCGATATTCTTTTAGAATCATTGATTGCATAAACAGATGCAGTACATAGTTTTCTTGATTTGTTTTTCTAGTTCATTCTTCCCAGTAGTCAATACCACGAAGAAATTAAATCACAAAGGATGATTAGTGAGACCAAAAAGTGATTAAGTGATAATGGCAATTATGAGTGATAGTGATAAGCATAAATATACTAGTGTAGAGATGATATTATTCTTCCAATGATCAAACTTCCCAACTAGAAGCAAAAATCGCTCTCAAAATATAATACTAAATAAATCATTTTAGCATTTGATAGTTTCGAATCGTATTCTTTAATCTTAAATCTAGAATGCTTTGAAACATTCTTATGCTTAGAACAATTGGCTGAAGCATTAACTAAACTTAGAATAGGATGATCTTTGTATGAATATCGCGAAAGTCTATAATTAAGCCTGAAAATAGTAACCAGCAATGGGAGACTACATTTTCAATATGAATAAGTACTTGTTTTTGTTTTATTCTTCCAAATAATAACGTCAACGTAAAATACATGGAAAAAAAAAGTTGTTTAGAGTGTAAATGAGTAATTGCAATTAATCGATATGCCATCAGTAGTTTTCATGTTCAATGATACTAGTTTACTATAATTATTAGTAACTGCCTGAAATAGTTGTCTGCGTATGTTATTATCTTTTTAAACATCATTCCTCAACTTTGTTCACTACTGTTACACTCCATTTTCTATAGTCGAATTAGGCATGCAACGTCTGCAACTTTCCTTTTCTTTTATATCAGAATTTAAGCATAAATCCGTTGCAGTTTAGGGAAAGTTAGTGAGAAATTCTGGAAGTTTACTCTTCTGTCTTAAAGTGTATCCTCGAACTCAGATAGAAAAATTGAGGGTTAAAAGGTAATCGAAAGAAAGAAGTGATATGATAGATTTAATATCGATCGAATCTTTGTCATGGAACTTATTTCTTTCAACCGTTTTTTAATGCTACTCCTAGATTACTACCTATTTCTAGTAAATATCTTAAGTCTTACTGAGTTTGCTTTTAAACTAGATTTAAAAAAAAAACATTTGGCCAAATGAACTTTTACCGAAATATGATGAAATTTTGCTGATCTTTAGAAAATAAGCTTGCATTAAATTAAAAAAAAAAAATGATATCTTTTGAAACTTTATAGTGCAATCGTAAAAAATTTTGAAAGTCTTAGCACTTAGTGATGAAAGTGATGAAATAGTTGCCTTACAACTTAATTAATGATAAAAATATTACCATGTGATAATTTAATCACAAAAACATTAGCATTCAATGATAACATCATAATTATCAACTGAAGTCTTTATTTGAGATTTTTTTCTTTCTTAATTCATTTAAATAAAAAAAGAATATTCCTCAAACTGACAAAAAGAGAAGCCAAGATACTTGGCAGTACATGTAGGCTATTACGTTTAATCTACGCAACTTATATTGATGATGACTGACAATATCGATAAATTTTTCGTTGTTTACTCATCTGAAGAATCAGTGATATTTAATTTAATACTGTTAATGACTTAATGTACTCGACACAAGAATCATTCTCTTCAGAGTATTAGGGCTTATAGTCTTCTCAAGAGTCATCGTAGTGAAAGGGTATTTGAAGATGCCATGCGATAGGCGGAGAGGGAGATGCATAGGTGGGTGGTACCATAGAATGTGCTGTAAACAATGACACTTTTGTTATGTCACCATGCGCTGCTATTCAATGCTTATTTTCTCGAAGAGTCATCGAGGCTAATCATTCTAATTGGTACTGTCTATGCGAAAATATTTAGTTTCTCTGCAGGTTTAGAAGTCGAACATACGCTAATTTACAAATTCCAGTTTTAAATTCCCTAGGGTTTTCAGTTTTTTGACTTCATTCTTTCTCTTCTATATTTTGAAAAGATTAATATAAAGAAGACGGAATATTCGAAAATCATCATTTTCAAATTCGAAAATTTATTAAAACATTCGTAATTATCATCAAAAAATATAAAATTCAATGTTGACTTAAAATTTCATAAATTTCAGATTTTATATTGAACCAAGATCAACACTGTAAGAAAAATGGGTGACATTAGCCTGAACACTCGTTATTTGAGCAGCAACCGTGGTATTATCAAAATTGTGCAGATCGTTCTCGGTTTCGTTATCTGTTCTCTCCTTTGCACTTCATGGTATTTTATGCAATCAAATTAATTTTAAAGAAATTAATTTCAAAGAATAATTTTGAATGATTTTAAAGATAAATTTTAAAGCAGAACATAACAGCAAATTGAAGAATAAAAAAACCCACTGACTGATGCAATGAAATATTCCGGAAAATAAGCAGTTTAATTTGCAATGTATTTCATCGTGAAATTTGAAAAGTTAAGTGTTTCAGGTATGGTGGTCGTTCATGCTTCGGTGAAGGTCGAATTGGATTTTGTTCCGGATTGAACTTTGTCGTTCTGATCATCAATATTGTCCTTTTTATCATCAATTTCCTCAACATCACTGCATGGAAAATGGTTTACATTGACTCCGAGATTTTCCATTCTTTACTTTTTCATTATTTCACCGTATTGGAAAGAATTAGAAGTAATGGAAATAGGAATTCAAATGAAAAATTATACGAATTTTTCTTCCGACTAAAACAAATAATCATAAGTAGTAAGAATCCACTGATTGAATTATAGATTTATACACTTTTCAGGAACGAGTGTATTCAGCGATATGCATGGTACTTTTCCTAGTTGCGATAATCCTTATCATCTGGTTTATTGTCGAAGTGAGCAATAACCAAACATACCTCATTATTACAACTGTTCGTACTTTTTTTTTGCTGTTATTCGAAAAATTAAACGACGATTGCCAGTTTCGAGAATGCTCTTCCATAGTGGCTGAATTATTTTTGAAATAGATCGGAAGCTACAGTTTTGCTTCAAAATGAGGCAATGCAGGAAGAAAAAATGGAATGAAATTACTGTCTACATTCCAAAATTGTCCTTCTTACACTTTCTTTTTGCTGAATTTTGCCCACTTCAAAAAATAATTAGCCACTCTTACCATAATTATTAATTTATAAAGATTATTTTCACATGTTGAACCTAATTTAGTGCAACTTGATTTTCTGATTTGAACTGTTTAGCCCTGGATTGAAACAAAATAATTTCAAATCATTTTTGGACTCCTGCAATTCTAAGCTAATTACTTCTCAGCTCCGTTTCCATTTCATTTCTGATTAGCATTTTATAGAACTAAAAAACAAATCTAATGTGGCCTCATTTCAGGTTTGTTTCATTGTCGAATGTCTTTTGTTCCTGCGAGATGTGAAGATTCTTCAGGGCGAAGCTTCCAACTGAATTGAATTATTTTCCGCCCTCGTACCTGTTTTAAATTCCGCATAATGATTTTTCAAGCTTTTTTCTGAATTTGTTTTATCAGAATTGAAAATTTAGTCATTTCAAAAAAAAAAAAAAAAAATGAATAATTTTCTCCAAATGTTTTATGCAAAAAACAAGAATTCATTTAGAACAGCCATGGAAGTTTCGAGATGGACTTCTTCTGTGTTGGAAACTTCAGTTTTCAAATAACGTGAGAAAATCAAGTTCCATCTTTCTATTTCTCCCCACATATTGCCATATCCATCGTTTTTCCTATTCATTTTACATCTGTTTATTCACTCATTTTAAATGATATAATGAAAAAGTTTCAACTACTTCCACTTGTCCTATGTGTACAAAAGAGACAAATGATAATATTTTAGTATTTAAAAGTAAAGATGGTTTATCCCTTTGAAACAAGACAAAAAATAAAAGATCACTCGGCAAAGACATACTTCACACATGCAACTTTCTCAATTTACTTTTACATTAAAAAATTTTTAAAGTTAATCCGCTCTGTGTTATCAACTGTCATCGTAAGCTATCCTCATATTAGCCATATATCACTGATAACTCTTGAATGAAGTATTTAGCAATTGTGTTTCTACTATATGTAGATGACAAGCAGCTCCTATTACCACTAATACCATTGTGCAGCAATTCCTCACCTATACTTGATTGTTAATGAACAGCCATATATAGATACTTCCAAAGAGTATTTAATAATGAATAATTCTTAAGACCCCTTGTATTAGTATCAAGCATAAATAAATTATATAAATATTGAAGTAAAGGAGATTCTTAGTCATTACTCAGCTATCAGATGCCCCAACTAAGCGTTAAAATGATTTGCTGCGGTGATATCAGACTGGTAACATTGTATAAGATTTGATTCACTCGGTTCAAAGCTTTATAACCATTTAATACCGCTCGACCACTTCCATGCAGCAATAAATCTGAGTCCATACAGATGCAAAGTGCTAACTGCGAACTTTTCTCGAACTGCTTGATGATTAACACTTCAAAGAGGGTATGTGTTGGAACAATAATCAATTCACAGTCACACTTCGCAACAAATGCGACAATGCTACAAAATTAGTTTAACATGCATTTTTGTTTCGAACACATTCCATCGTAAGACTGGCTGAGCAGTAACTTTTGAAATAAAATTTAGAAAAAAATTGCTTTTAACGTTAAACTGCTTGGCTAGAAAATGAATGAATACAATCCTTGCTGATTCAGTAATACTTTAGTATGGATCCAATTGAAAGGTTTGAAAGGTTATGCACTGCAGCACAGATTGAGAACAGCTGACAGCATCGCTTGAAAACATCACTGCCCGCATTTCGATAAACAGATAGTCTTTTTCCTGGTCGTTTTAAGATAAGGAGCTCTTTTCAAAGTTTTCCGATCCTATCTTGTATGGCCAGAACTTTGTGTATGCTTGGACTAAATGGAAATGACCCATATAACAATAAATCTGAAAATAATTGGAACAAGATTTTATGTGCGCATCGCTCTTCTAATAATCAATAAATTCATTTTATTACTGGACATTAACAATCTATAGGATGCTAAAAAATTGTTTGGAGCCATGTGCACTTCTCTTATAGAGCCATATGGTTGGGCCTTCTTACCAGATTTGCTATTGGAAGAAATTTTCTCCCAATTACCTATTAAAAATTTGGGACGCTGTTCGCAGGTCAACCATTTTTCAAATATTTATCCAAAACAACATTTGCAAAAAAAAAATTTGTCTAGGATTTGAAAAACTAATTTAATCAACTTTGCTTGGGTTTTGGTTAAAAACAAAAATACATTCTATTGATAATGAGGAAGCAGATTTTTCCTCTTTATCCTTAAAGTACATTTAAATTCTATTACTGGTTTTGTTTTATGTACTTTTTCTGACCAGAATTTTTTGTAATCGAACATTAATAATTTGTTTAAAGGTATGTTTGAATTGGTATCGTGTAAGCCAACAAGATTATGCATGGCGACGATTTCAATACAAGGACAAGATGTTTACAAGACGCAAGTATACATCACATGCAGGGTGGCAGCATATGATTGATCACTGGAAATTGAGGTTAGCTGAAATCAGAAAATTTAACTAAGTTGAAACTCAGTAATAGCATATAAAGTGAATGTAATTTCTTCATGTTGGATCAAGTTAAGGTCGTATCAACTTAAAATTTTTAAAAATTTTGAACCATTATTTGCTAGGTATAAACGGCGGGTAATTTCTGAAGTGAAATTGCAAGTAGTCTGAAGTTAATTTATTTATTAATTATTATAAATATTTTCTCTGTTTCTTTTTTTAAAGGTTTCTAATAATGAAAGCGACAACAAAATGGAAAGTATTGGAAATTGAACCGGTAACAATTCTTTTTAATTTATACGAATTCATTCGGGTTTTAACCAATTTTTCGGAATACTACGAGAGAAACTCGTTAGCAAAACCTCTCCAAGGAATACGATCATTTTCATTCAAATGGCAACTTCATGTGCATGTAAGGGGTGAAGGTCAAACTGAACGGGTAAATATCTCAGTGATATTCTTTGCATTTACTTATTTATTTAATAGCAGTGATATAATTGAAAAAAAAAAAAAAAGAAAGAACTGTCTCTTTACTTTTAAGACTACTATCAGAAGGTGAGAAAAAGAAATTGCATTTTCAGCATAAATTGTTACATTGCGGTTGTTTAAATTATTTATACTATCTGTTATGAGAGCTATTCTTATTTATCCACAAATGTAATTACCTACAAAGTGGAAAATTTTTGATAAATAAATAAAATTTTGTAGGTGTTTGGAACAGGTGGTGAGATGTTGAAGACTTTGTCATTGTTATTATCATATTTGCATGGGCTAACTAAATTATCACTTCACGAACTTCAATTGGAACCATATGAATGCAATGATTTCATCGATGATGTACAGAAAATTATTATTGCATTTCCAAATTATTCTTGGACGAAATGTGAAATTGAAAAAATATATAATGGAACGACCTCTCTCATTATATGCAAATGATCTAATATGTATTACCATTTTAATTTAGTCAGAAGATTTAGAGAAATTTGCAGAAAAAAGAAATGGTTAAGAGAATTGAGATGTTGAAAAATTCGAAGGACTTGCAACCAGCTATAACAAAAATGTTTCTAAAAAACATTTAAAATAATTTAAGGTTTAAATATTTGCAGATTCTGTATAAATTTGATTCACAACTCAAATCATTGTGCATTATAAATTTAACGAAAGTACGCAGGCCATTTCTGCAGCTTGGATTATTTCTATTCTTGGAACATTTAACTGTCTCCCCACAACATCTTAATGAGTCGATAGTGACACTTCTGGCTGACTTAAGACATCTTAAATCACTGATTATTTTACAGGTGATGTTAGTATTGATTATTACATTGATTGTTAACTCACAAAGTTTTTTTTTTTTTTTAGAACGATAAAACATTTGGAGCGAAAGCTGTTGATTCAAAGGCATGGCTGTCTTTCGCAAAACGGAATAATCACACGAGAATTCATTTGATTCAGGCAGGTACATTTTTTTGTTCTCATAAGAACGGCGGTCCAGTCACGTGAGTTAACATGAGTGCAGTAAATCATTTGGAAACCAGTTCACACTTATCTCTCTATTTCTGCTTCAGGAAAACGGCAAAATGCGCTGCTAATCCAGCCTAAGGCACCCGTCTATGCTATCATATTTGATAAATCTACTGGACAGCTTACCAATGAATTGACACAGGAGGTTATATAAGAAATATTACTGTTACAAATATATTATTATAAGAATTAACTCTGTAGTAACCTTCTTCAATATTAATGATAGAAATATTTCCACAGAATGTCAAGAAGTTTAGGAAAGATTCAATGGATCAACTGTTTTGGAATAATCATTAATTTGCCAAACTTTCATATGTTTTATTAGCGGTATTTACATATTATGGTTAATTATTATTCAGATCTGCTGCAACTATTCTACAACCTTGCAATTTTTTCTCCAGAAAGGCCTTGAACGTCGATATCGTTCTCGAGAATTCACGAAACGAGTTGATGTATTCGCTGTTGAGCTTGCACATAGATGCTGTTTGTTTTCGAAAAACACATTTCATGAAAAAGTACTTTCTTTGCCACTTAGCAGTATACAATTATACTTTTTGCATAATCAGTATTTACTTACAGCTAATTTAAAACTGTTAGCAATACGAGAAAGGATGTGTTTTGCGAGCGCATTATTGCTCGCCCAAATTGCTCGATCACATCAGACGACGATTTGTTTGAGGCGCAATGCTTTGCTAAAGAGGGTTCGCTCGCTTATTCATTATTCATTTTTTAAAGAGTCGCGATATCAAAATTACTTCCTTCAAAAGCCTTTTTCCACCAATTTAAAATGTGTTTGATTCGAAAAATAAGTAAAGTCGGAAACTACATCTTAAAAAATTTGAAATTTTATGTCTTTTTATAACCAAGTATATTTATTGTCCTTGATTACTACGGCAATTAATTAATAATTAACTACCGTTATCATTATTGGCATTATTACAATCTAAAATCATATATTCACAGGTAAATTGGGCTGACGGCACAGTAAAAAGTATTCTGGGTTCAGAGAGTAATCAAAAATGGATCAAAGGTCACTGTAAAAATTTCGAAATACTCGAAAACACAATTCGGAATATAACGGGCACTACGGCTACGATCGTTACCGATAACCGATACATGTATAGTTTCTAAGTTTTCCCTGTTTCTTATCGGTATAAAAATTTATAAACAGATTCAGTGCTACAATAACAAACAATCTTCTATGATTTCTCTTCTTTATAATTTCGGTTCTCGGAGTGTAACCCATAACTTATTGGATCTAAATAAAGCTGCGCAGTTGGAACAATATTATTATTTTGCATTTAGGAGGACGTAATATTCCTAGAAATGTGGAAGTAGCAATTGTGAATGCAATGTAAAGTAGTAATCGTGCTTTTAGCATTAATAAAGTTAAAGGTAGGGAAGAGAAAAAAGAAAATCGATCAATTTTTGTTTCATCTACTGCCAAAGTTCAGATGAAATGAATAGAGTCTTTCAGCTGCATATTAATTTGCATATGCAATGCCATAAAAATACAAAAGTGTTTCATTTCGATCATTTTTTTATATTTTTATCAGAACTGTGATGATTTATATTGCAAATGTGTGCGATTTTTCGATGACATTTTTAATAAGCATTTTAATGATAGGTCTGCCAATAATACCTGTCCTCATTTTGTGTCAGTTTAAAAAGATGGAGAAAAAGAAGAAGACTGTGCTTTCTGTATCACGTTTTCCTGCAATTGAAAATAATGACTCAGATAGAAAAGTAAGATTCAGGATTTCCAGGATTTTTGATTGAACCGGAAACTAAAAGCTCTCATGATATCGTTGCAATTTTTTTTAGTCATTTAAATTACCATACGGTAAGCTGTGAACAAATATTTGTTATACGATTCTTTATTCTGCTAACGGATCGGCACTCATCCGAAATATACTTTTTATTTCATTTCATCTAAACTTAAATTTTATTACGGAAAACCTTCCACAGATTTAAATATTGAAATCAGAATAACCGGAACAACTTGCAGCAAACTGCTGACGACACAACACATTTAATGGAAAAGAAAGAGCCTGAAGAACAAAACAAGGTGTACATATTTATCTGAGAATTAATTTTCTGGCTTTCATCTGACTAATTTCGTCTCATCCGAACTCAAAATTCTCTCCTTATCAACAGTCGGAGAAAAGAACAAATCCAAAGAGCTTTTTCTGACTGTAATATAATACTCGGGAAGTTTGCAAGAACAGTTGGTTCCAATTTCAGGTACTGAATCAGATTAATGCGCCAGTTACGGGAAAATTTAAATCTGTCGAAGTAATCCACAGAACTGGAACACCAATGTGGGTCACGACAAATCATGACATTGAGCATGTTGCCGATGGTAGTTTACAAACGCAGAAGTGCAAAGACCGAGGGTAAGCGCAATTGTTTGACAATCGGCTCTTTGCATATTCGAGAAATACAACACTTGAAGATTACCAATTTCGTAATTTCATACTCTACAGTACCTCTCTGATAGTTTTAAAATCGAATATCTAAGAATTACTTTGAAAATTCTAGAGTCATTAAACTTTTAAATACTTAAAATGATTTTATCCCTATAGAATGTCATTTAAGGGGAAGAAATTATCAAATTATTGGTGATTTGGATACCACCGATTCATCATATGAATATTCATTAGAGAATACGCTCGCTATGGAATCACTCGAAATGATTAGTTCGTATCTTTAATGAGAAACATTAGTAAGCAAAATATTAAAACGACGAAATTAGCGAATGGGAAATTAAGCTAAGTTTCGAATTTACTACTATTGTTAACTGTAAAGCATATGAACTATGATGTAGCTTAATTAAAGATAAATGACATCAGATTACACTTTCAATGATATTGTAATTGCAGAAGGAAAATATGGCGTGAAACTGGAAGGTGAGGAGATCGATCATCAATTGGGAAAAGCACTGCAACAAAGTTAGATGTATTTTTTTGGCATAGCGTTTTATCGCTTAGGTATAGTGTTTCGAACAAAGTAAATTCAATTTGAACTGATCGAATACACTGCATCAGATTCGTTATGGAACTAAATGTACTGATGCGCTATGACAGTAGAGAAATAAACTAGACGACCAAATTTTCTTTTGAGGTGATTCATCAGACTATTCATTATTTGATTCGCAGTCATCAAGGAGGGACATTCGTGAACAACGATTTCGATTACTCAAATTAAATACATCGATAGCCCGACGAGCAGCTGCTGCGTTAGAAGACAGTGCGTTTTCTACATCTACTCGGAATAAAAAAGAAACGCCTGCAGCTGAAAGGGTTAATTTTAAATTCCAGCACATCTCGAAATTTTCGATATCCCCATACACCGGCGCGCATTTTTTCGAGTTGTTTCAAGGCGAAAAGGTAGAGCTTACAAGTTGGCATTTAAAATATACAAACTATTCATCTGGAAGTTCAAGTCATAAAGGGATGAAAACAGTACTCAATGTAGAATGGCACGCAATAGTTACTGCTTGCAGAATGAACAAGCAATTCAAGTCGAAGAAACTAAAGATAAGTTAATAGCACATACTTGACTTACGTTTGGATTTTTGTTCGTGATGTTAATTTGTGATTATTCTGATAGAGTAAATTTTGATCAATTATTCTACCAACCAAATGTTATAAATTACAGAAGCGATTTAAGGCTTTAAAAATAAATATTAATACAGAACCTATTATACCCACTGCACTGGAAGAAAAGAAGAAATTCAGATTATAAAGCATTAGTTCTACAATTTCAGGACTCGTCTGTCTAGAAATTAAAAACCAAATCAATAATCGTTAAACAAAATATTGCCAGAAAATTTTTCTTTTGAAAAGTGATGTATGCTCATATAATCACTAGCAAGACAAATGAGAAAATAAACCAATAGTTTTTATATCTAATTTAGAAATATATATATATTTTATCGCTAAATTCTCAGATCTTGAAAAATACTAGTCGAAACACAGCAAAGAAACACCACAAACATTTATTCTTTCTTAAATGATAAACACTTCAAATTCTGATGAGATCGATCTCGGTCACTAATAATCAATTTGTAAGAATTACTAATGTGCCAATCAATGGCTAATTCTGGGTCAAACGGATTTACACCAAATTCCACTTGCTCATTGTATATCGCTGTACATTTATATGTTACATGTGCTCCTTCTTCTGATAAAACCTGAAATTCAAGTCTAAGATGGAACAGTAAAGATGTGAAAACAATATAAAGTATATCACATTAATTGCGATCAGTTCTGCTTTTAAACAACCAATTACAAACACTGTTGGAAATAAATGGAGAACTTAAAGCGTAATTTAAAAAGTTTAAGAACATACTGGTATGGGATTATCTGAGTATGCATTCTCTAAAATTCTAAATACAGAATCTAAAAAGAAAAGGCTTACATAAAATCCGTGCAAAAAACCATCTGGTATCCAAAAAGCTGTCCGCGTCTTTTCATCGAGAACAACACCGTACCATTTTCCAAAAGTTTTCGACATTGATCTTATATCAACAGCAACATCATATATTTCACCACTTATAACCGATACTAATTTACCCATTCCTGGCTGTGCATGTAAGCCACGTAAAACGCCACATTTTGAGTAGGAATGATTATCCTTAAATGTAAGAGACAAAAGTTGTAGTTAACCGATAAGACCTGAAAATCCGGCTGTAAGCATCATATCGTAGATCAGCTATTACCATTATTTTGAAATGTTCAAGACAAAACTAAATACTTGGAGAGTTAACAAATAATGAATCTACCTGCTTGAATTTCTCGGAAAACCCTAAAGCACCTAATTCATACTCATTGTATGACTCTACGAAGTAACCGCGAGTATCCGGAAAAAGTTTCGGTCGAATAAGTTTTAGTCCATCAATTTGTTCGATATGTTCAATCTCTAATTCTGTTCTGAGCATTTTACTGAAACTCACTAAATTATGAAAAAAACCTGAATCTAGCAGGTCTATTAAAAATGATAAACAAGAATGTCAAATTTATCATCAATAATGTACCCCTGAAACGATTGAAAAAGAATTCTTAGCCCGATAGAATGAGTCCGTCACAACTGCTTCATTTCATATGACAATAGACTTCTCCTAATTACCTTACTTCCAACTTTGTGCATCATTTTATACGGCTCATTACCGTGCTTCAGAAATTATTCCCACCACAATTTAGACAAGCCTTTCTGAACATCGAAACGGGTACAATTAAACGAGTTCCCAACGAGGAATGACAGCAGATAGAGGTGTGCAAGATGTTAATTTCGACTCCTTTTTGCTGACAAAAATAAGCAATAATGTAGCCATAATACAATGGTAAGTATTGAATTTATTCACTACACGTCACTAAACATTTATTCACTACAAATACTTTGAGTGCATCTTTCAGTATTTATACAAAGCATATCAATATACATAACTGCTAAAGATTATAACTCGTAACCGTAACTCTAAGACAAGAATTTTTCAACAGTTTGGGTTAATTTCGTACAGTGTGTAAAACTGAAAATAAATTTCGGCCGATTAGATCTCCACTGCATTTCTTCCGCCATCTGCATATATCCAATCTTTGCTCAAGCATTTATAAAGGCTGTAAGCATATTTGAAAAACAAGGCGCAATTAATAGAAGCAAACATCAGATTAGATACAGTTAACATTGATCCATACTTAACGATCTCTTAAACTCCAAGTTCTATTAAAGACATTTTTTAAACTGATCTGTAGTCACTAAACAAAGAAAACAGTTAAAAACAGAAAAAACAATATAGTTAATGTACATGATTAATCTATTGTTTTTAAAGAAAACTGAAAAAAATATATAGAAAAGTCTTAATAAACAAATTAAACTCTCACCTATTTTGCCTTCCCAGCATCTAATTTAAGTATGGTGCAAACATCAAACTAATTAAGTGAAAATTTCAACCACCACTTATTATTACGAAATTCTGTGTTCAAATAATACTGATTTGAGTTATAAAAAAGTAGAGAAAGGAAGAAAAAAAGCAAACAAATTTGGACGAAATTTCCGTTGCCTAAATGCATGCGTTTGTTAAACGCCAATATGACTAACCAATTGCGAACTGGCAAAGATGTTAGTTGACAATCGACCATATAGTAATGTATTACAACATGATATCAGCTCTCATCCTATTATTTCTCACCTAAACAAATGAAGATCAAGACATTACAAAATATCTAATCACGAAATTTTATGTCCATCTGTGTTTTGAGGATTAAATTCAGTAATGAATAATGAGAATCTTCAGAAGAAACATGAAACATCGTAGATAACTTCAAGGAAAATGGTTAAAAACTCAATTAAACACAATCAAATTTATAAAAAGTGTCAGATTAAGAAATGGTAGTTGAATAGATTTACGCCAACAAATGGTAAATTAGATTTCGACTGTTGTTCATACTCACTGGACTGGAGAGGTAGAAACAATATATCTGCTGAGAAATGCACGTTATATGAACTTCAACAATTTAAAATTTGCTAATGTAATACGATATTAATATAAAATGAATATAACTTCATAATAATAAACTAGTTTTGTACAGAAAATAAAAGTAATTAACTAATTTTTGCGGGAGCACCCAAAGAGTTTAAAAAGATTAAAGGCAAAATTTTTTGCAATACTGACTTCCCACAAATTTACTTTCACTATTTCGAAAGGAATTATTCCGATTCAAAACTTCTGCCAGTTATGCAGTTAAATCTTTCTTCAAAGATGCTTGCTTGGGCGAAGCACGTCTTTCTAATAACTTCTTATCATCTTCACGTTTTTTATATTCTATAATGCAAGCAGGTATACCCTTCACGGTAACTATATGTTTTTTTGCTGAGGATCTGACGATCAATGAATCACGCAATGATATTACCTGAAAAGAAAAAGATGCTTTTCAAAACCGAAAGAGGGTACAGAAGACATATTGCCTGAACATTAATTTAGACTCAAATTAAATATAACTCTCAACAATCTTTACGTGACTCTAAAGTCTACTTCTTATGCACACTAAAAATCATTCTTCATGGCCAAAATCAACGAAAAAATAATAAACAACTATTAAAAAGTCAAAAAATTAAAATTGAAACATACACGCTTATTGTTCGCTCTAGAAATGACTGTAGACTTTGTAACACCAGAACCGGATGAAGTGCTTTCCGGAGAATGCCTGGAAGTGCTTGGTGAGTCAGCTGTTGGTCGTCCAACCCTTCTTCTGTAATTTGAGGACTAGAAGTCAGGCATGGAATTTAAAGAATTCCTCTTCAAAACTACCATGTTTCGCTCCAGCTATGACTGTCTTGACATCTCAGATATCAAAGCTGCAGTTTCAGTAACCGACAATTCACACTTTTTTTTTTTTGTTTCTAGAAATGTATTCAAACTAGCAATAAATGGACTTTGGTTTCTCCGCAAGACTCTGCTGAACAACAAAATTCTGCACAACTGTATGATGCTGCACAACATTTTGATTCAAACGTGGCTTTCTTGTTGATGTTCCCTTTCTGAAAAAGGAATTTTAATTAAGAGTTTGCCTTCGAAAATACTGAAGGCTTGAAACCAATGAATGCCAATAAGTTTAGCATAACTCACAATTCCGAGGTTGAAACATGACATGGAACAGTGATAAACTGTCTTCCTTGAAATATTATATACAATGAGCCTTCCGATATGCGATGAGAAGCAGATAAACATTTACAATGTGAAATCACTGAAAACTTTAACCCAATGTCTGTTCGAATAAATTATTAACCTTGTATCGCACATTTCGCATTTGAACGCTTCATGTCGATTTCGGAACGTACATACAGTGCATTCCCAACTTCCTGGCTCGAACCCTTCCTCTTCTGCTTTCGAGCGATTGCGTTTCTTAGTAGACATATGCTTAGTTACTCTCAAGAGGTCTCGTCATTTCAGCTATAAAATTTTAAAACTGAGAAGAAAAGCCGAAGTAACCACTGAAATTCTCACCAGATTTGCAGATATCGTCATTTAGCGCAATACGAATCCTCACTTCAACCGCTGATGGAGTAAAAAAATATAGTAAAGAAAAACATTTTATTTTTCAGTAAAGAACACACAAGTTTTTTTTTTCTCAGTGGCAACTTCTTGACTATTGTTATCAAATAATGGATTATAAATAGTTAATAACTTCTCAACTTTGCTGACAACAGCCTTCTCATCGAAAACCTTTCATGTCTAACAACTTTACTCTCAAAACATGAATAATGAGAATAGTTCAAGACCATCTATCTCAGTTCTTCCTTTCAGCCTCTAACTTACAAACCCCCCCCCCCCCCGACATCTACCTCTCAACATCTACCAAGCTTCAACCTCCGCACTTATCCAAAAAAAGGAAGCAAATACAAAATCTGAGTTCTTGGTTAACACTTGACGAACCAACGCACTTTTGACGTCCTCCTTGTGCAAAACGATCAATTCACTTTGATTTATTTCCATAGCAATCCCGGAATTTTGGTGGGTGTGTTTATACCTTAACCCTTTATACATTGTTTCCAAAGCTATTTCAGCAAGACAAGCAAAATTGAAATCTGAAACCTCGAACTTAAACCTCGATCTAACCGACGTTGGTTGGATGATAAATTGATAAGCATAACAAGTAGCTTTCGACAATTAATCCCATGTGTCGCAAATTCCTATTATTGCGAAACTCTAAAATATTATTTAAAAAAAAGTGTCGGATGACCCTTTTGCACATTGTTCCCAATGTGATGTTTATATCTGACATTAAATTGATATTATTATTTTATAACGACCTTTGAAGCCTAACAAAGAATTCACCACGACCACTCCCACTTTAACATTATATATACATGTCATGGAAACACACGAGACAGTTTAACTTATGAAAGGGATTTTCACTAACTTGTACTTCGATTCTTCTTTATGAAATTTATTATACTATTGTTTCTATTGACAAAGGAATTATTATTATTACGTTACCCCACACTATCAACATCAAACGAATCTCACTGAGATCAGGAAAGCTTTCCGAAAGAAAATCAATCGGCCCTTATCAAAATTCGACAAACCAATAAAATCAGCTACATTACGATTGTCTCCCTTCCTCCCTCTCTCTCCGCCCTCCCCCCGCCCTCTTGATATTCGTATGCAACTGTCTTGATAATTTTGAATAAACCAAGTTTTATTCAAACCTTTTCTGATGGATGTGCTATTAATTTTCTATCGAAAATACCGTCTTACGCTACTAATGTTATTTTTGGATAAAAGTTTACCAGTGAGAAATTTCAACAACAACTTCGATAATCTAAAAATTAAGCGATAGCAATCACTATTGGCTTCCTTTCCTCTTTCTATCTACTGTCCCGCAAATGGAGAGAGTAAAAATGTATGTATTGGTTCGCTTTTAAGACCTAAAAAACCGGTTTCAAAACAAACATAAAAATAGTTTTTTCGGGACAACTAACTACAATGACAACACGAAGAGAGCATCAGGTTTAAATTATTCTTTTTCTTGCTTTGTTCTTTGTTCTTTAGAAAAATTGAAATAATTCCGAATACTAAGTGCACGGTGAGCAATTGCTTTATTATAGATGACAAATTATATTGCTTGCTGTCACCTTCAGAAATGAGTAAGAGTAAGTTATCGATTTATCACTCACATCTTTTTCTTTTTTGACCTCACATCCCTTTTCCAGTTTTCACTGGTCAATTCATCATATAGCAAGTCAAAACGTCTGTTAGTGACCCTATCATTGCTGCTTACCAAATATCGTAGCATTCTTCTCGAACTTTTTTCTCCTAAGTTCAGTTCATCTTGTTGTAAGTTCCTATGGACTGTTCGAAAATCATTGTGATCCTTGTTTCATTTGAATCGACCAGATGTTGTTTTCGACTTACTATTTAGTTCAGTGAATCTAATTATTTCAAAAGTCATGGATAGTCTGCCTGTCTTATTTGCGAACTGCATAAAAATGTTGAGAACTAGTTAATTGTCAATTTCACTTTCTAAATTTTGAACTTAGCTATCATTCATCCGACACAAAATTAGCAAAATAATATAGGGAGATGTATTTATGATGGGAAGTGATTCTAAAATTGAAGCAACTGTAAAATTTCTTTCTGAGTACCTTCTTCGATGTTCTCACATTACCATTTGTAAATGACATATATGACAAATATTAGAGACAAAATGTTAAAACAGTGTTAGAATTATTGAAAGAGTAGGATTTGATATTGTTTGAGGAAAACATAAACTATGAGATGACGGGAAATCATTCTGATTCTTGGCTTCTATCTATAAGTTTGAATCATATGTAGAAATGGAAATCCAGTTGAAATTTGCCTTGCCCTTCCCTCTGCATACACAATAAACCACTCCAAACTGTATACCTGTTTGTCATAAGCATTTGGAATATAAATGTATACAAAGATATGCAATCATACACAAACAAACAGATAGGCAAACTCCCAAATTTGTTTTTGAAGGCTTCCGACGTCAGCGTCTTCCTTTTTAACTGTAGAATTTCTCTATTCAACAAAAAGATGTCTTGCATTGATTGAGGCAAACTTTTTTTAGATCAGGTAATGAATGCAAGAATCTATTAACTTAGTTGTGAATTTATTCCTTGAAATTATCATACTGGTATTTAGTACTATTATGGTCTATAGTTTATTGAAGTGTAAATAGATTTGATGCAAAATTCATTTCTGTAAAATCCTCAATTAACTTTCTTCCCGATCAAAAGTCAGAATTTATGACTCGAGGATTTGTGATATAGATGTTTTTATGTGAGTTGCGAATTGCTAATATTGAAACGTTTTCATGACTCTTCACTCAGTAACAACATTTTTATAACTCTGTGTTTAAATTAAAATGAATTTTCTCATTCGTATTATTTTTACAGTTCAGACTTAGTATCATTTATCCGTGGTTGAAAGCATTGTAGTAATGCGATCAGAGGGGCAAGGCATGTGGTTATCTAGCATGTGGTAATATCCTAGCACTATCGTCGGATATTAGAAATCATACAATTTTGATGTAAACTTATAATTGTCTATTTAGTTTTGAAGTGTCCTGCTGAAGTGATGTTGAAGTAAACTGCCTCAGTCATAATTGAATACAACTCTTTCCCTCAATCATAGTTGAATACAACTATGACTGAGGGAAAGAGGGAAAAGCCCGAATAGATAGAGAAAGGTATTGACGGCATAGCATTATTAAATCTGGTTTATTTTGGGGGATGAATTGAACCGATGAGAAGGGAGATGCTTCTGGAAAAGTATGAATTGAATTGGAAACCAGTTTTTGTGATTTAGAAAACGAAATGAAATCGAGTTAAAGTGATGACTGGATGCAGTTTCGAAAGTTTTAAGCCTGAATAAGCGAGTAATTGTGTTAAGGGAAGGCTAGGGGAGAAGTGATGTCAGTAAAGGTGAAAAACTTGGATCAATTTAGTAAAACTGCAATGGCACTGCAGTGCAGTGAAGCGAGATGAAACAGTAGCAGTGCGGTAAAGTGATACGACGGTGTAGTATCTATACTACTACTTCTAGTAGTAGTAGTAGTGGTAAAGCAGCTGGTATGACCAGTTTTTCAGGCACTTAGACATGCAGAGACCGATGAATTTTATTTTGTATGTGAAAATCTATCTATCCTCAACCTCAAAATTTCCATTCCTTTTCAACCTCGTCGCAAATTGCTGTCATCGCATCCTTCTAGTATGGTTGATTTAGGTAGCGTTGTTGCTAAACTGCGGTAAAGCGGTGTGTTCAAACTTCAGAAAGTTCCAGTTGATTCTACCATAACAAAACTATAAAATTTCCTGCAATTTCAGTCAATTGTTAAGGGAGCACCGTATGCTTGTGAAACAATATTTATTCGTCAGTAAGGACCACAGAAAAATTTTCTCTTTGTAAATCAAAATTTTTTGAAGCGACCAGTTGCATTTGGCGAAAAGCTGCAACGAAGTTTCAAGAACAGATACATTTGTTTAGCAACATATTGCTAAAATTGCTGAATCTGAATTCAATTTTTTTTTCCGTTCCATGGACAACGACTCCAAAGCAATTTTGAATGGAATTAATTTGCGATTGAATGACATTGACTTGAAACTATCGTTTGTTCTGGAACTGCTTACAAATCGTCCACCCGAGAAATCATCAAAAGAGAAGTTGACAACACTACAGTTTTTGCATCCTCAGTCATGTGAAACGACGAGCGATCGCAGAAGTGGTGGCTTCATGGGATCAAAAGAACAGGGACAACCAATAGAACGGATACCGGCATTCCCAGTTGAAGATGAAGTTGGTGAAATAGTCTTAGGCAATACAGTTCCTTTTTTGCAACTGGACAGCAACAAAAATTCTGTCCAACAGCAGCAAGATGACATATTACCCGAGTCGTCGTCTCTTTCTGCCAAAGAGCGATCAACCACAATATCAACTGGTATTATAACAACTAACGACAGTGAAGGTGACGAAGAAGAAGTTGATGATTACGATGATGAACTGGATGAGGTAATCTGATCATTTGTACTTACTTGATTGCTGAAACTACAGTAAACTAAGAATTTCGAAAAACGAAAAGTTCTAATCCATTATCATTGTGTGAAGAAATTCTTTTTCATAATATCCAAATTGTGCCAGCTTAAGAAGTTAAGTAAGGTTCCAAATATACTACTGTTATATTGCAAAATTTTTGCTGAATTTTCATGGCAAAGTATTTCTAAACATTATATTTCAAAGTGAACCTGAAACTAATCTCAAATTCTTATTTTTACATTTTGTTTTTAACATGTCATATTACTTCCCACTTTTCCTTCCAAAATTTTGTAATAAGAATTAAAATGGAAGAGGAACGGTTTGAGAAATTAAAATGAAAACAACAGTTTCAAGATTTTAGGCTGTCAATATATTATAAGGAGTACAGAAATGCAGTAAAGTTGAAACTTTGATGAATTCAGTTTCTGTGAGATTGATTTCCATCCATTAGAATATATCATAATTAAAAATACAGGATGTTTCAACAGCAAACCAAAATCGTGAGGTAAAAATAATTCATGCAGAAAGTAATTTTCCTGAAGGAGCTGTACGGCGAGCTGCTGAAAAGGCGGCACGAAGTTTTCAAAGCACTCAACCAAAGGTGAGTCAGGGTTTTTCTCCCCGACGTATTTATTTATATTTCCAATTTTACTAATGACATTAATATTAATATTACTTATACAATTCATCACTGTGTCTATTTTCACTCTGAAATAATAAGGGAAGAATTATTTGCTACCAATTTTATCAATAGAATAGCGAGAAATGTAACATTTTTGCATATTGCAAACTGAATTAGATTTCCTGAAAGGATTTAATTCCAATTATTCTTTAATGAAAATTCCATTATTCCTTTCACTTCTCTATTTTTGATTTTGCCTTATAGCATCTTTTATTCGTTCATTTTTCCACCCTTAATTTAACTTCTGCTGTTGACATTCTTTTTCAACCGTTCCGGATGTCACTCTTTCTAATTTACGTTGCTTATTTTGTTTCTATATATATATATATATATACTCAAAAAATGAAGCTAAATAATAAAAACTTTTGTTTTTCCCACAATTTATTTTATTTTATCTGGAAATTTTGCACATTTGCGTGTATCGATATTTTGTTTCTGTATTTTATTGCTATTCCTGCTCACATTTTTTTTTTCGAGTGTAATAGATGAATAAGGAAAAAAGTGCGAGAATGAGAAAAGGAAAAAAAAAGTTAATTTTTGGGGAATATTTTTCATTTTCAAATATTGAATTATATGGAAAGAAAAGTAAATGATCTACAGAATTCTATTAGCCAGGTCCTTTCACTGTTCATCATCCTTTTTTCCTTGAATGAACAGATTATATTAGCTATTACAGCTTCTTTATTAATTAAACTTAAAATAATTTTAATGTTTACCCATCACCACTGTAGTTATTCTGTATTTATTTTTCTTCCTTACTGCTAGCACATTAACCAATAATAGCAGATATTATCAGTTGTTCAATTGATCTTCCAATCAATTACTATTTTAATATGGTTGAAGCAAGGATATTTTAATATAGAAGTGGATTCGCTTAGAAATGAGCCAATTTCACGAGAGAGATTGAGAGACAAGAGAGGAATAGAGTAGAAGAATTATTTCGAATTATGAAACTGTTGATTATTACTGGCAAGTACTGACAATTTTAATCATTTTATCTTCGCTAACAAATGTTGTTTAGGTTTTTGCATGGCAAATATTACGTGAATCAGTTACCGACCAGGAACTTCGAAATGTGCATATCTCCTTAAGAACATTTCATGGTGAAACTGCAGATCATCTCTTATCTCGGCAATTACCAAAGGTTTAATAATTTTAATGTAAGATGAATAGCTGGAGAAATAGATTAAAAAAAAAAAAAAAAAAAAAAAAAAAAAATCATAAATCATGAAGAGAAAGAAATATACAATAAGCACAAAAGATAATTTCAAGTCTTTAAGAAGGTTTTTTTCTTATTCTTCACGTTGTATTTCTCATTCTTTACTTCATTTTTAGTTATTTGTTTCTGTCAAAGTCATTTTGCACTTCTTTCCAATCTTGAAAGAAAAATTTGTTATAATGGATCAGCTTCTTAGTAATGTTTCATTTATTTCTATTACTTTATCTTTGTTCCCTTTTGCAGTTGTAGTATTAGCATGCTTAATATCTTTCAACTTAATCTGATAACTTCAGACAACAGTACATAACTGATATTAATAGATTAATTATATTCCATTGTTGAATATACTTACACAGATGGTATTACAGATACGCCTGGTAGTAGAAGCAACAATGTCCTATTTCAAGTGGGATCAATTAAGTGATGAAAATCAGTTAACTAAAGCTAAGCTGTTACTGAGTCATCTAAAAAATAACGCCAAAGTGCGAAATTGGACTCTTAGAGAAGGACGTCCAAATCGGTAGGTTTAAGTGCTTCGACAAAAAGGATGAGTTCTGCATAATTAAAACATACAGATTTAATATATTGCAACAGCAATTTCCACGTAATCTCAGTCTATTATTTCGTGAAACCTCCAACTCCAAAAAATAATTTTTTCATTATTAGTACCTCTTTCTGTGATTAAACAAGTGCAACAGGTGCTTCTTAAAAGTACCACTCTTTCAACTTATCATGACTCGACAAGTTTGAACTCCAAATATAGATAAAACTTTAAGAGTTTTTTTACAGGATATCGAATACGATGGATGCAGTATGGAAACGTTACGCAGCTTTCCTCGGACAAACCAGTCTTGCTACGGTGGGTTTATTACCAAGTCATATAAGTCAGCTCAATCGATAAATTCAACGAACAGTTCGATAGTCTACCTCATGAACTCTTTTGTTTCACTTCTTTACAGTCTATCATTGTGTATGTATGCATTCCTTCCATTGCAAGTATAACCTTTGAATGAAATTAAACGAACCATCCTAGTAGTGAATTTTGGTTTGTCATATTACATGCAGCACAAAAATCAAGGTTCGTACCCAGCTATTCCAGCCCGACCAAAACAGTACTCGAATACACACTCTTTTATAATTCAACCCATCTCCATCACTGACTCCTTTTATATCATTACCAAAACTCAATATCGTGGCTATAGCCAGAATAGACATTTACTGGTCATTTTTGAACTCCATGTCCATTTTCGAACTAACACAAATTTTGACCTCAGTTAAGAAATGTTTCAAAATACTGTGAGAATCTCAAGTGTCTCCGCTCCATCCCATCAGTTCAAAAGGCCTCCCAAGAACCGCTGCATGTATGTATTCCCAATAATGATGTCACTAAACGATGTACTTGTCGTACGTGCAACTCAACGAGTATTCACGTCATTACTTCCCAAACATTTTTTAAATTCAGTGTTTCACAAGCGAACCAGTCAAAAATCATTACACATGCAGTGCGACAGAGGGGAAAAAAGCATTGGGCATTACAAGGCAAAAATATAAGAGGAAAAATGGAAAATGAAGCGAGATAGTTCAACAACAAATAAAAAAAAAATGGGACAACCATATAAATGTTCATGGACTGGTTTCATATTTTCAACAGAAAGCAATTGCCACACACACAAACAATAGCAACATGTAGACCAATAAAAGAACAAGTACATATTTATTATAAAAAGGCATAACTCTGATACCGCAAACGAATTGATGGAAATGAGTAATGAATTGCACAAAGCATTTTTTTTCCTCTCACAAACCATATTGTACTGAATTTCCGTAAGTGTCAACGTAAAAAGTGTATTAAGTGTTCTCCACAGATCTCCAATTTCTCCAACTTCATAGTGAGTATCACCTAGGGAGGACCATGCATAAATTGAAATGCTAAGTTCCATCACAAAATTTACCAACTGCATGATTCATTCGTTCGCGAAACATTTTAGGTTTATGCAAACGGATATTATAATTTCAGATCACTATAATTCTAGATTATCAGAAATTTCCATACAATCACGTTCTGTGCGTTTTAATACTCGTTTTTTACACAGATATTCCTGAAATGGATTTAAACCGAAATTCAGTAATAATAATAATGGCAGTAATAACCTAAAAAATTTCTTCTATATTCCAGACAGCATCCAACCGTCGAGTGGTTGGGAAAAATGAACTTATTTCAATTCTTTTTGTTTCTCTATTAATACTTCGCATCCGCAACATCTGAAACACCTAGTCATACTCCACAACTAACGTGAAAGATTACTATGGTAAGAATATAAAAACAATACCTCAAGTAGTGGTCTATTCCTGATATTATACCACTGTTCGAGATCATTTTCATAACGCTCTAGTAATGCCTCACAGTTCTGTTTTAACGTTACGATTTCAACTGATGGAGTATCCCACATTTCGTAAGGTATACCTAATTCTACCTGCAATAAACAACTACTAACGTCAACCTTATATACTTTAAAAAAGATTTTCAATGTCACAGATTTGAAGACTGAGTTTCATTTACAACCAAAAGTAGCAGCGCAAACTCTAAAACCACTCCAAAAATTCGTAGTTGAACCTACTAAGATTTCATAAAAATCAATATCTAGAGGTAAAATTCTTAAACAACACTTTAAAATAAAACATATGATACGTAAGCTTTTGAAGCATTGAAAATGAGCAAACCTTAACTCCTTTACTTCTTAGCTCATTCAGAGCTTTCATTGTATTACTTTCCTCCTTGGCAAAACGTGAAATGTCTGACTTCTCTTTATGCAGTTTATATTGCAGCATTCGCTCACAAGTTCCCTCCAAAGCTTCCACAAACTTAAACTCTTTTTCTACGGCCGAAATCTATAAAACCTTAATATCTCAATCAAACTCCTACTCAGAAAATGTATTAAAAATTGAAAAATTAACGTTATGTGTTCCTTTCAAAGAGATTAATGGCATCAGGAGAATAGGCACAGCAATCAGCATCAACAAAAGTGGCCGTCTTAATTTATTTTTTATCATCTTTATTTATCTAAAAAAAATTTACCTTATAATAATGTTCCAAACCTACCTTAACAGCTCTATCATTTGCTAACTGTTCCTGAAACTCTCGCGCAAATAAAACACATGATTCGCAAGTTGACGGAAGATCGACCGTTGGTTCAGCAGTAGTTACAAAAGACTTCGAATATACAATTGATAAAGCAAAAAATAAAGCAATTAAATTAGGAAGATGTCGTTGAAGTTTTTTGCCGTTGTGGATGCTGCTGCTTCCATTCCTGTTCGTCATCATCGTGTTCCGTTGTATACACCTATAAAGGAATTTTGATTTATGCAGAAAGTTATCAAAAGATCTATTACTTTATAATACTCATTTTGAAACAACAAAGCTAACATGCAATCGTTGGCGTTTACGAGTATAATATTGCCATTGCAGCAACTGTTGTTCTTCAATAAATTTTGCATTTGCTGTACAAGTTATTGCCTCACGAAAAGCTGAGCTCTGTACCGCTTCAAGGAAATGTAAGCACTGCGGATATTTCAAAGCTCTAGAAAAACCAAAAAAAAAAAAAAGATCATTGGAAAAAGAACTGAAATCACTGCATAAAGTAATGCAGAACATTTAAATATTTTATTTAATGAAAAAACACTTGAAAATACTAGGTGTCAATAAATCTAACCTCGCGTATTCTGGTCTTTTCCAGTACAAAAGGTATTTCAAATAATTGATGAAGTACGGCTCCTTAAAATAACCTCGCTGCGCTAAAACTAAAATTACTTCGGTTCAAATCTACTGAAATTGAGATTTAGTTCAATTAATATCAATATTAAATACGAGTAAGCAAAAAACCGAGAGGAAATATACAACAAACTCAATTACTTCATTAAAGGAAAAACTAACTAGAACAATAAAACGTACAATTCAAGTAATGAGGATTAGCTAAAGCCTGTACAAATTCACATTCAATTTCGAATCGCTTCTTTTGTTCCTCAGATGTTTCGGGACCCGAAACCGAGTTTAAACCGGAACCTTCAATGCTATAATTCTTATAAGGTAAAATTGCATTACTGTTTTTACTGACAATAAACTTCCACAATTTGATCATGCATATAAGCAAACTCACCTCGCAAAAGATCCAGACTGCTTACTCGTTCGAAATTTCTGAAACAGCTAATTTTTTTTTTCAAATACAAGACCACAGACCACTATATTCATGCAAAACTTATACACTTAGCGGCTAAAGTAGTTTGCATTTCAACTGTTCCCATTTAATTTTAAATTATCCTCCCAAAAGAGTCGAAATAATGCTATACCAGAGAGAAAAACAAAATTCAGATTCTCTTTTTCTATCATACCTCATTCCATCTACTTTTGGTGAGTCTGAATTATCCTATATATAGACTTTGAACAAGTGTTCAGTTGTACTGTTCGGAAAAACACTTCATAATATGAAATTTGCATAATAAAAAATGTATGGAAAGAAAGCTTCAAAAGAAGACAGGACTGAAAGCTTTAAAACGAAAGAAACTGAGCGAAATAACAAAAAATAGTTTATTACTCAAAAATTAGAAAAAAAAAAAGATGATACTGATCATGAAGTCAGGACTGCTTTTTAACAAAGTAACGAAGACGGAAAAAAATACTTTCCAACACTATCAAATCTTCCTTCAATTCAAATTACCACTTTTCTTTTCAGGACATATTTTTTAAAGGTATTCAATAATACCAAAGCTAAGAATTGCACCCAGTTATCAGACTAAAGATGTGAGAATTAAAATTTAAATAGAACTAGTTTAAAGGAAATCGATAGAACCTGAATGCTTATTAGGAAACGAGAAAATCTAGATGATCTCTCAAGTTGTTTCTTGAATTAAAAAAATCTTTTTATAAGCAATTTCATCCTTATTCAGTGCTTTAGTTCCATAACATTTCAATCAAATTTCATTAATAGTTACAACTTATTCTCATCGTTTCTTTCCTACAATAAGCAAATTTTCAGGAGAAACAGTCCTTTTTACATATCTACACAAGGAAACATCATAGCCAAACTTCCGAAGTTCTACGACTCGACCAAATTCCAAAACCGCTTTAGCTTTCTGTCCAAGAAGTTCTTTCTCCGCTGAATTCAGCAACATGAATTCCAACTTTGCTTTCTGTTGACCCAAATTTTCGAACTTTGGTGAATGAGATGAAAGAGAAACAGTACCATCAAGATTCTCCTAAAGTCAATAAAAACTTTTACTTCGTAATTCTAAAAATTTTGTAACAACTGAGTAAACTCTTATAGATAACACCTGATTAAGGAAACCGCAAACAGCCCATGTTGAAATATGTCTTAAAGCGGCAAATTCATTTGAGCTACAAATGCCATGAGATCCTAAGAAGGCACGACCAATGTACTGAAAAAGAGTAATATTCAATATAAAAGATGAGTTTTGATCATGTTATCCTTAGATTACTGAAAAATGCTATCAGTAAAGAAAATAAACTTTAAATTCATTAACCTCATTGTATGTAGTTCGATGATGGCAACATGGGGCTAAAACGAAACCATTTACATTCAAACCGCTTTTTACTCCATTCATTAAGCACCGGATACCAAAATCTGTAGCAGCACCACAGAAATGCTTGCATACTGCTGCTGTATTATCCACATCCTAAAATTTTCACGAAAGAGTTATATTTGTATAATATGTTTTTGAAATATAAATTTAAACCATAAATAACTAAATTCCGAAAATTCTAGCTTTAATTATTTTTTTTTTATCGCTTTTTATCGCTAATTCCTTCCTTGAAGTACTTTTTAGCAACTTACCCGAATCAAATCAATTTTTGATAAATCAAGATGCTCCACCGAACAACGTAATCGTTCAAGAAAGACTAAATCCAGTTCCTCAATTTTGAAATGAATTAATTTAAACTAAAAAACTACATAAATTTAAAATGGACAAATTATTTAAAAAAATCATGAGGAGAGTGTCGATAGTGCGTAACTATCGGAGTTTCGAAAAGGTAACATATCATTCTCCTTCCACTTCAAAAAAGTAAATATATTACTACTTCCGTTTTCCATATCAAACATTTTCATAGTACGCTCTTAACTAACTGAAATTCCAAAACTCAAATACAGTGAAATACTTGGAGTACTTACTTTGTGAATTTTATTATCGAATTTATTCCTTGATCCCATCTTCTCGATCAGCAGAAACCGACATTTTGGAGCAATTTTGGCCATCCAATATGAAAGCTGTGCTCTACCGGTTCCAAAATCTATCATACACCAGCGCTTGTCATTATTAAGCAACTCGATTATTCTTAGATGTTCTATAAAGAATTAAACATACTGAAAACATAGGAATGATTCAATAAAACAAAAACTAAGAAAGATAAGGAGCAGTGTTCCAGCTCAAAGGCATGAGTCCCAGAACAAATCTCAGCTATCAATCAGATTGTTAAAACTACCAATTATTGATGATATTTGCCAAATATGTTTCTTTTTCAGTTTTGAAAAACTTGAAGCACAGTTTTCAATAAAGTCATTTTTCAGAAATGAATCTGTTATATCATTGGCTATCTGGTTGTATATTCTTTCAATGATTTTTCGAATTCTCAAAAATTCGCCATCTGAAGGACGATACCATGGCTCCACTCCATTTGGAGATCCTTTAAAATATGTTTTGTAAACAAAATCAAACTAAGGAAAAAAATTTTCATCAAAATATCACAAATAGAACTATAAATATTAAAATATCTTAGCACTCCATTAATCTCATTTCATAAATGGTAAAACTTATGCTGAGTTATTTTTAAAATTTACATACATACAATGTAAGAAAAGAGTCAGCATCAATTATTATTTCTAAATCTGTCATCACTTGAGATAAATCCCAGAGAAAGTTATGCAATTAAACATAAGAAATAATGAAGGAAATAAACCTGCTAGATTAAAATTTTTAACGATCCACGGTACTTCAGGTAAACGACTATTACATCGAGAAGATAAATGTTTTTGCAAATGTGATTTATTCACTGTGTGTCTTGGATCGTTTGGACAAATGATACGATCCTGAAAAACTGCAACAGAAACACAAACAGTCATCAGATTACAGTTACCTCATTTGTGAAAATATGAGACCTCATTCTGATCATCGTAAATAGCATGTTCTCCGCAATATTTCTGGCCGTTTTTCACCAGCATCCGACATTCCCGGTTTTTCTTTTTCAAAATAAAAGAACAACGTTCCATGACTGCAAAAACAAACAAAAGATTCTTGAAATTTTGGTCAAGTCAAAACTTTGTACAGATTTCAAATGGACGGAACACACAGTAAGAAAACTCCGATGGTAAGAATTTATAGTAAGAGAAATCCGATCAGTGTGATACAGGTTATATCATCATAAAGGAATCTGGGGATTTACATACAAAACCAACCAAATTGTCCTACAGTAAATACACACTGAATTATACAAACTCTATGCTGTTACACATCTTTTATGTATCCTGACAATTGTTTTATGAAGTTTGAAGGGGTGAAACGTCCATGCCATACTTCAGGTGACATCATATTGCATGTAACGTCACCTGAAGTTTTACTTAAGACTACAATTGCGGGCACACACATTTTATACAGAATATTACTAAACAGTACAAAATACATCCATCTGGTTACTATCCCAGGCGACGAATAGCAATCACTACCAACGTCACGCAAAATCCGTCTGCTCGCAAAACGTGTGTACACATATTGCGGTAGTAGTGCAACAAAGTTTACCCAATGTGAAAACGCTCGAGTCGATGCAAAAAAACATTAACTGACCCTAAATTAATTGCTAAATTAATTGGTTTGGTGGTTAAATAAGGCGTACAGAATATCATTTTCATAACTTCACGATAATTAGGTGAAGAGGCGAATTCAATAACAAGTTATGGAACCATAAGGATGACAAACCTTTAAATTTTGCATATTTAAATTTTGGGGTATAGAAAAGAAATCCCAAGCAGCGTTATGGTTCAGATAAGTTGCTAAAAGCGGAATGATGCATTTGAAAACTACTGGGTGACAGCTAATTTCGAAAATTCTTATTGTTTGTAAAACTAGAGAGTTTGGATGAAAGTCTTGAAAATTATATCTTAACAAAAATTTTAACCAAAACTTTCAGTTTTACGAGATGATCGAATACTTATCTGTGGCTAATGACGACAAAAGATTACCAAAGAAGAATGATGAGGTTCAATTCAGAATATTAGACTTCGTTACACTTCAATTCCTTGAACGTATCGATGATATCGTTGGGAAAGCTCATCTCTGGAAGGCACTACATCGATGGTTTCGGTTAGCTGACCATATTTTTTGTTTCAATTGTGGGACTGTGAACGAAATTTTTTTGTTGAAGTTTCATTCAGCAACCTCCGATGAACTTTATTTTACCTCAAATTGTAAATTTAGACAGCTGGAATTCAAGAATTTTTGTGACTATCTGTGATCTCCATCAAAAAATAAAACATATTACGCATTAGATGCGAAATGCAAAGTTAATATATCGGCCAAAACTTTACGTGCTTATTTTAAAGTCTTTCATGCCAAAATTCTAAGGTTAAGTTTTGATAAAATTTGAAGTCACACATTAAATGAGGAATAGCAGCGGTCAACAGTTGCAGTGCATGAGATACATTCGAAAGGTTTGAAATAATTTTTGTGAAGCGAATGATTAGATGACGCTGAGGTTACACGGTTGTTCCCAAAACCTAATTGAATTTCAGATTTGAAACCATTTAGCTAAGCAATTGATTGACATTGAGAAATTGTGATTTCAATTGACCTTAAAATACTTGTGGCTTGAGTGATATATACTTTTTTCGATATATACATCTATTTTTCTTTTTACTATAGAAGCTTATATTACGCTATATTGCTACCAAATGTTATACGAACTGTTATATTGCACAACTCTCATAAGTTAGGAACAGGGATGAAGTAAGTAAATAAAAATAAACAAATACTTAACTTACCAAAAACTTCAACCATTTTATAAGTGTAATGATGCTTAAATCGCAGTTGAATAACGTTAAAAAAGACAGTTTGAGTTCTGATCAGTGGATGATGACACAGCCGAGGAAAAGTCGGCTAAACTTCCGTTTTGCTATAAATAACTTTGTTTTCAGTTGATTATTGCTTTACTTTTCAGTGATTTAACTAAATCAAATATTCATCAAATACTTAGTATTTTGAAAAGAAATTGGACTCTAATTTTAAATTTGGTTGCAAAAGAAGACTTGAATTCAAGATGAAATTCGTCCTTTAGTCCTGCCTCGAAAACTCGAAAACAATTTTCTATTACCTGAGTTCACTCGCTTCAATCTTGTTTCAATCTTGCTAAAAATTATTCTGTTTCGGTCTGCTATGATTATGAATTTAGGTTGGATGATATCAGTACTGGTACAATTTATTAAATTGTGTTTAGGTGTAAGATTATTTAGAACAGTATTTATAATTACAATTACGGCTAACTAAATCGAGTAGCAAATTTAATTTTTATTGCCTATTAATTTAACTGCATTGAATTTCTGTTAAATTGGTTTAATTCTTGAAGTGAGCGCCAAAAAAAAACTAAAGTATATTGGATCATGGAGAAAATAATGAAGAATTTTGATATTACGGCGTAATATTATTGTTTTCTGTGTAAAGAAGGAAAAACTGTAAGGCGAGACAAATTAACTCCTTGGCAACAATCGGCGAGGCCTTTTGAACATTGACTTATTGCTGTGTTATTCCAAGTATTTTAGCAGAAGGTTCAGAGAAATCACTTTTTTCCTTTTTTACTGCTATTAAATTCAAAGACTTCTTTCATTTAAAATGCAGTGTTTCTTTTCAAACTGTGATTTCATGGAAGTCCAACTGACTTTAAGTGAAAGGAAATGACATAAAGTTCAATAAATTCAATTGCATTACTAAAACAAAAAAATAGACTAAGATGTCAAGAAATTGTTACGATAATTTAATCTTTAACACAGCTCGTCATATTATCACTTAATAGCTGCGATTTATATCAATTTTTTTTAAAAAAGCATTCCCAATTTCTCCAGTTAATTTAATAGATTTTGTAATCTCATCACAGTAACAAGTTTGATGAATAATTTTGTTCACCAGCATGAATTTTAACGTATTAAGATATTACTCCTCATATTTCTGACTTAGAATTTTCCTCTACCTTAAAAAAATATCGATTTAAATACTTCAAGAAGCTGAAAAAGAAATCACCGGCCCTAGTGTTGTTACCCTACCAATATACGTTACCGGAAGATTAAACGATTCCATTTTAACTTTAAACTATAAAGGATAAAATGGATAAGATTAAGTAAAAAAGTCATAAAAGATGAGAAATGTTAGTTCATAGATTGATTGTAGCGTAATAGCAAACAAATTGCAACCACCGATCTGCAGATGAATATTCAAAAGCACGCCAATCCTAAAGCCATCGCATTTAATCACTCGGTTACGATCAGTTCAACAGACCGCAGAATACTTGTGGTTTCCAAAACTTCCTTCCAGAAATGTCATTGCTGAATTGCTGTCACTTCGATTAAGTCAAAGTTCGTACAAGCACATATAAGCGGCACAAAAAGACAGCAATTTAGGCAGTTGGAACTAGCCAGATGAATTAATACTAGTTAGATAAACTAAGTTAACTAGTTTGATAAATCAATAAAATACATTAAGGATAAAAAGGACAGCACTACCTGAACATATCCAATGAATAAACACAACCTGCTTTGATTTATCACCCAAATAACAAATCAAAGCTTCCATTTTAACCTTTATCATTTCTGTCTTGGACAAAAGCTTCAATATTCAAAAAATGCCCTTCTGGATGGGACGTCATTCTACTTGATGTCACTTCACTTCATGTTGCGTTAACTCAAAATATCACTGAATGCATATTCCTTTCAATAGTGCCAATGAGATGCGTTGTTTCGTTGCGGGTTACATTTCAGCCATATCGGAGATTAGGTTCAAATATGTGGTGAGGTATTTTTTGTGTAGATGGGTACGTTGTTTATCGAAGCAATGAAACGGTACCTCTTTCCTGAACATCTTAGGAAAGGCGAGAGATTCTATCTACTGTTTCAGAAAACTCTGGAAAAGATCACATCAAATTCGGGAAAACTTGATTCCTAGAAATGAGCAATTCCCTCTCCCTGTATTGCGTTCTAAAGTAGTGGAACCTCCTGTTCTTGTCTGTTTTATTTGTTAAAAATTCATTATTAATTACTAATGAGCTTATTCGTAGCATAGTATTTATTACATCCTTCCAATGATTTTCCTAATTCCACTGTATTTCAAATTTTAACAAGATTTTTTTTAAAGAGTTATACATGGAGTACAGCTGATATGCGAGAGGGAAAGATGGCAGATGCATTTGTGGATATTCCAGTAAGCGCTGAAGTTCTTTATGTTTCAGAAGTGCTATACATCTTTAGTCTTTTGTTTAACAAATCAAAATATCCATGTTTCACTTCCATTTTTGTAATGTGAAGTGCGGTTCCACTTTTTTCAGGATTTCCAATTCCGAGCACTTCAGCGTGTGAAGATATTCGATAAATCAGATGGAACATTGTACGATAATATATGTCCGTCTTGGATTGCTGTCTCATCACGATATGGGATTATTGTTTGTGCTTCTGGATGTGATAAGTTGATATCTTTAAGAAGTAGCGATGTTCATCAGCTAAGCAGCAGTAAAGCTGATATCAATGCAGATGTACTTGTCATCAAGACGAAAGTAACCAACATTCAAGTTGAACAGGTTGATTTGTGTCTCTGTTATGTACATGACTTTTAAACTTTCACGAACAGCAATATTACCATAAATTTGGTAAAACATTAATTGTTCGGATTGTCACCAACACTAATTTTGAGCTGTTTTATCCCTGGTTTATTTATATCATAATTAAAATTATCATTTCTTTTGAGCTTAATTTATTCGAGAAATTTATGCACTGGGTCCCAGTATCTTTGCAGCCTGTTGCATTGACTGCGTTAGCTTGTAACTGCTCAGGTCGCGTATTATCGGTTTTAATGCGAACATTATCTGGAGCATTCGTATTTCTCTATGATATATGTGCATTTTCCGTTGATTGTGTTAAGCAGGTTAGCTACTTACTATTTTGTATGTTTAGTAACACACATGTTTTGATCTTTAACTTTCAAATCTTTCTAGTCAATTAAAGCTTTTTAACTAAACAAT